CACGTCAGTCGCCATTATTTTTCTGAAAGTAATCAAAGAAAGAAATTAGATGACTTCGAATAGTGCTTCCAACAGAGCAGAAGGTTGTATTCGAGCTTCCTAATGATCTCGCGGCGGGGATGGAGATGCTTGTCTTGGCATCTATCATTGGGAAACACAGAGCTTCGACACTTGTCTCTCTTTGGTTAAAACAACCTCCTACAGCTATGGACTGATTCCCAACCACAGAGCAACCAGATGAATATTCTCTACTTAAGCTGAAGATTACCCCTCTTTCTCTACCCCTTTACTCGTGACCCAGAGTCTCGCAGTTGTCATGGACGAGGTCAGTCCACTTGCGGAGCTCTTGGGGCAGGCCATCTACCAGTATACGAAGATCAAACCTTTCCTACCGACATACGGCCATCTGCTCGTTTCGGCTCTCTTTCCCATTTACATTGGCGCCCATGCATCCCTTTCGAGACCCTCGTCTGCTGCCAAACCTCCCAAGAAAGACACGAATAACACCGAAACAGACAATGAGGAAGAAGACGAGGAAGGACTGGGTCCCGTCCAGAAGATGGAGGGCCTTGAGCCCAGTGATGCGCTGATGTTCCCTTTGACTGCCGGTCTCACTCTCGGTGGTCTCTATTTGATCATCAAATGGTTGGATGATCCAGCCATATTGAACAAGGTCCTAAGCTTTTACTTTTCTCAGATGGGCCTCTTTTTCGCAGTCGCATTCCTCAAGGACTGTCTTTTGGTCTTTCGATCCTTTCTTTTCCCTCGCCGATATCGATACGCTGGCAAGATCTGGAAGGCGAAACAGTCGGAACGAGTTTTCATAGCCGCTGAGCAGGACTCTACGCAGGGGTCGGCCCAATTCCGCCATACTCCCCTTCCCGGAATTTTTGGCTCGATTCCATTACCTACTGCCTTGGTCGCAGGCCTTTGGGCGTGTCGCAACGTCGCGTATCAGAGGCTGAAGCTGCGGGCTCACGTGCGCGGCCTCTTCACCGGCGAATGTCTGGTGGGCCTGCTGGACGTAATCAGTGCGCTGCTGGCCCTGTCCGCTGTTGGGTATTTCGCATTTGTTGCGAAACCATGGTGGCTAACGAACTTTCTGGGTTTCAGCTTCTGTTACGGTGCGCTGCAGTTCATGTCGCCATCAACATTCAAAACTGGGTCACTTATTCTGAGCTCGTTGTTCCTCTATGATATCTACTTTGTTTTCTATACCCCGTTAATGGTGACAGTCGCTACAAAACTAGATGTACCTATCAAGCTCTTGTTTCCCCGGCCACCTGCTCCCGGTGAAGCTCCGGACGTTGTTTCCTTGGCGATGCTGGGGCTGGGGGACATTGTCATTCCCGGTATGATGGTGGGACTGGCGCTCCGATTTGACCTGTTTCTCTACTACAGAAAGAAGGGCATCGAAAAAGCGCGGCTCGAATCCAAGGGGCAGGAGATCATCAAGCCCCAATACCAGTCTGCGACCGGCGGCTGGGGTGAACGTTTCTGGGCTTGGCCCGTGGCACCGCGTGGACGTGAGCTAGAGCCCCCGTACAGGGATGCAAAGTCCTTTCCCAAACCTTATTTCAAGACCAGCTTGATTGGGTACATTGTCGGAATGATATCGACTCTTGCGGCCATGCAATACTCCAACCATGCTCAACCCGCTCTTCTTTATCTAGTTCCTGGAGTTCTTGCGTTCCTGTGGGGAACTGCGCTCCTCAGAGGAGAACTTCGCGAGATGTGGGAGTTCTCTGATGCCGAGGAAAGCGACGAGGAGGGTACAAACGAGAAGGAGGAAAAGAAGGGAGATGAAGCTCCAGCTAAGAACACAAAGAGTCTCCTTATGCGAATCCTGTCAGGCGATATCAAAGCAGTATACTCTGAAGAGCCCGAAGATGCCACGAAGAAAAAGGAGGAGAAGAAATCCGAGAGTATGGAGACCAAGGATTCAGCGCAAGTTGATGGAGGACCAGATGGCAAATCGCAAGGTGCAGACGAGGGGAAGGAATTGGACTTAGTTTCAATATCCATCTCGCTGCCCAGGAAAGGCAAGACCAGATCACGCAAATCCCAGGCCGACAGGGTTGAGTCACCCACAAGCGAGAAGAGCTTGTCTGTCCCGAGTGCAGCAAATCGTGATGACGAGCCACCGGCCAAGAGACAGCGAAGAAGTCCTAGAATCGCCGAAGCCAGTGCCTCTTAGTTTTACTTTTTGGGAATGATTTCTATGAACGGGTTGCATGGGATGTTTGCGTTTCGCAATTTGGTTCGGATAGATGGAGTTGGGACGGTCGAACCCGGCATGCATATCCACTGGAAGGTAGAAAATGGTAGAATGATCTGTTTCAAAAGTTCCTTCAAAGATTTCAAATGGTATCGTCATCGTCCTTAAAAGTTAAGATATACAAGGTAATCCGCCCGGATCAGCAGCTATCAAGGATCCGTTTCATATCATCCCATCGTTGCGCGGAGATGTCAACCAGCTGCTTCAGCTCTCTAGTGTCCGCTGCCCATCCGCCGTTCTTCTCCATTTTCACAATCACTGTCTTCCCTTGTCCCGCGTTCTCTTTGTCGACCACGATACAAATCCTCTCCTGGCTCAAACTCTCCTCATATCCATCGGGGTCAGCGAGGATCCACCTTCGCTGGATGCCTTTCCTGCCACTTTCCTCAATCTTCCTCTCTTCTTCAGCATCGGGAATAATGACCTTTCTCCACCCAGAAGCTGCATCTGCCTCGAAGACGCAGAACGAGCTAGCGACAGGCATACCTCGCAAAGACAGTTTGTGCGCCTCAGAAACAGCTTCCGAGCACACCACCATCTCGTTATCGACGTCCCACCATGCCTTGGGCAATTTCGTATCCCGAAGTGCAGCCAGAACAGCGGCCCAGGCAGCATCGAAAGGATTGCCCGCTAACGAGATGATCATCACATCTATGTACAGCACCCAGAACGCTTTGATTTCTGGGCTCTTGGCACTCGCATCGCCCTCTTGAGCATCCACATCCATCTGCTCATCCTCATTATGCCGTTCCAGCTCCTCTGCTCCCAAGTTCGGCGGCTGATACCAGATTCGCATATCCTCTGCGCGCACTAAGCGGGTGCTATGTAGGAGTGATAAGATCTGATGTGACAGCGACTGCGCCAGCGCCGAGGGTGGAGCGCCAGGGATAAATCCAGGTGCGCAGCCAGTGCTGAGTGAAAGGTTCGGCACGAGCAAATTAAGATCTTGGATATGTGATTCGTCGTCCTCATCATCGTTGTCATCGCTGGCTGCCACAGTCGGCTTCTCAGAGGTATCAATTAATTTCCGCCGCTTGTTCATAGAGGCAGGTGCCGATGCTCGCGATACACTCCACGAGGCAATGTCATCGGTATGAAGAATCTCAGCGCGAACCCCGCAGACCGCCGCAGTGTCGCCGATTCTTACCACGGCACTGCCGTTCGTATGTGTTAAAGAGCCTGTGTTCGCAGAAGTAACGCGGAACTGGGAGGTAGCACGGCCATTGGCTCGAATAGAGGGCTGATTGCTTGAGGGAGGAGGTGATAGATGGGCAAGAAGGTAGGCGTGAGGTTGGAGCCGGGCAAATTGAGATGGTGGCAGTGAGAGGGATGGCGGAGCTGACGGTGCAGCTGTCGATGCTGCAGCGGGAGCCATTCTAGTAAAGGACCACAATCAAATCGCAGCTTGATTAATGAGCAGTCGACGGTTGCCTTCTTTGACTCGTCGCTTGTTCTGCGAAAAGAAAATAATGCAGCATTGAATTCCCTAGTTTTAGGCGGCAGAATCGTCTCCACCTCCGGAAGCGGTGAGAGACCTTTATCCACGACACGTGATATAGGAGTATCACTTCAACTATCAAGTACTCCATAGGTACTTTCAACCGTTAAGAAGCTACGAGTTTCACACTCCAATGCTTTGAATACGGGACGTAACTAGTCCATTTGCCCATCTTATGCTCTGATCTAAGAGGATTATGAAGAGCAATGAAGGCGGTATTCATGACCCTTCGAGATTGTTCGAATGATTGAACACCCTGACGAGTCTTCCCTTGCGCATCTGGCTTGCACATAGAGCGGATTATGATGGATTTCTAGAAGTTGCGCAGTATAGGTCATTGAATCAGCAGTTGCATCAGGCGAGACACCAAGGTTAAACCTATAACCAAAAGCCGACAGATGAAACAGGAAATTAAACACGCGGAGCTCTGCAAATGAACAGTAGCTCAGGGGCCATGGTTCATGATGCAATCGATATCGGTTTTCTAGCGCATTGTGATAGACCGGTTCGGCCAATATCACTCTTTTAAGTATGAAGTCAAAAGATCGTCGCTTTATCTTCTAATTATAAATACGAGAAGCCGTCGATCCCATTGGTTCCCGAATAACTCGGTTGAGATGGATCCCCAGTGGTTTCTGCGATTGACTCGGAGACTGACCATGAGTATCCAACTGCATATCTCTGTGTCGGTTGAGCTTGCTGCTTTCACTAACGAAGAGAAGAGGCAACGCAGACAGTCAATAGGAGCGTGTGAACTGCGCAATCGCTGGTCATCACGCAAGAACCCCCCTCTTTTTGATGCTCTCCGGTCGTTTGATTGGAGTGGATCACAACTATTAAGGTTGCGAGCTCATGGCTTCTTCCACATTCTCGTGTTGATCGATATATGACTCGTGTTCAACCCTTTTCTCTTAGGCGAAACCCCACGAAAATCTGGTCATCGTTTCCATTTTTACTTCTCCGCCCGAAATGCGGATGATGAACTGGTTCAGATCTCAGATCAGGAGCACACTTTGTACATGTGGCGCCCTGGGGATGTATCGCAGTCTCGTATTCTGCGGGAGGAGCCAATTTTATGGTCCATCACATAGTCTGTGTTGAGCGCACGGTCGACCCGACCTTCGTTTGAGATCTGCTATAAGCCAGACTTAACATAAAACGGGATCTCTTGGGTTAGTTGTAGAAAAGTACGGCAAAGGATGACTGTCGTGTATTCTATCAATAATGAGATTGTGGTATAGCCGGGAAATGCAGCGAAATCGAGATGAACTCGGCTTTACTGCAAGTCCGAAGCATGGAGGTCTGTCTCGCGGTTCGCCTGAGGAGCGACAAATGAGAGATGCCCTAGTCAGCCCTTGTTCACCGACATACATAGAGAACGCCTTCGATCTCAGCCGCAGTAATGATTCGCCTGTCATATCGCCCTTGTCACCGGACGACCATGCTCGAGATCACTTTCTGGCGCAAAGAAAAAGAGACGACAGCCTTCCTCTCACCGGTGGAGGTACCCAGACTTCTTTTCAATCTATCGTTAGATGGGACACTGATGATGAAATCAACTGCTGGAGCGATGCGGCCACAGCCGGTGCGGTGCTTTCTCTGCTTCACAAGGAGCCACCCAGCCCGCCACCTTGCGCGCAGCCTCGATTTGATAGAAATGCCTCAGATGAACAGAGATTGACATGTGTTGTCTGCTTCGACGACCTCGACGATGGATGTTACCCACAGCCTCCCATTGCAGCTGGCTGCGATCATGGGTTCGTGCCCGGGATGCATATTTGCTTCACCTGCCTTCGTCGAAGTCTTGACAAGCAGCTTTCGTCAGGCGCTACTTTTCTGTCATGTCCAATTTGCCTTGAGCAGCTATCCGACGAGGAGGTACAACGATGGTCCAGCAGACGAACCTTCCAGGCGTATGATGCCAAGCGAACTTGGCAAATCCTGGAAGAAGATGCTGAATTCGTCCCATGTGTCAGAAAAGATTGCGGATATGGACAGCTACATGCTGGTGGGCTCGAGGACCCAATCGTTGTTTGCGGTTCCTGTGGCACTCGAACCTGCTTCATTCATCGTGATACAGTTTGGCATGAAGGGTTGACCTGCGAGGAGTACGATCGGCTAGTCAATCCGAGATCCGACTCGCCGGAGCTACGGAGGAACGCCGGCAGAGAAGCTCGGCGTTTATTTCCAGGATTAAGCAAACTAAGGACGCCCCGAAGAGGAGTTGAGAGCGATGCAAGGCTCGGATGCAGTTCTGGAAGGCCACATGGCCGGCTGGATTCGACGAATGAGGAGCTTTCGAGCAGCCGAACGATTCATGAGCTTTCCAAGCCATGTCCGAGCTGCCAGGCGCAGACAGAGCGAGCTGGAGGATGCAAATTCATGCGATGTAAGCAGAGTTCCCCCTTTGGTATATATGTTGGCTAACGGTTGTCGTTCTGGGACAGGTTGCTTATGTCGGCAGAACTGGTGTTGGGACTGTGGGATTCGGTGGCAGCCAGGCCATCTTGAGATTGACTGTCTTTACCAGAAAAAATAGAATAGAATACCAAGGCCCCAAAACGTCTTCATTGTCACTGCTGGACAGAGTAGTATTCAACATCCGTCTCACTGCGTGTATGCTTACGAACATTATCAGCCTCAATTCGCATTTTTCACTGTGTAATTCAAAGCTGACAGCGTTGAATTTAGCCCACTCATGAGTGATTATGCTTGATTGCTTGCTCACTGAATCATTCATATGCATAAATCCCCGCTAATGCAGGCCTTGTTGGCGTCGTCACCATCTTCTCAGTCTTTGGACGTGTGATTGGGGGAAAGCCATAATGGCTGGCGCTAAATCCAGCAATCTCACTTGTTGTTTCTTCGCCAGTTAGCTTGAAGAACAGCGGAAGGAAATCAAGGCAGTATCACAATCCTTTCTTTGAAATGTGATAGGACAGTCAGGATACACACGTTCTGGACTCTCTGCCACAACCGATAGCCACTGTGCGGATGTACTCTATCTACCGTTGGTTGTTGACTCGAGTACGGAGAACTCCCATGCTCTCCTCGCTAACTGACTCAGACAGAAGAGCTTGTTTCCCCCTCATCACAAACCAAACCAACCATAATGATTATTTGAAAAGAAACTTTTCTTATCACATCGTGCATACCAACATGGCAAAGCGGGTTGGATCACACATGAGCCAAGAAGGCCATCAACTGTGCAGTGGTAAGCTCTCATCTTTCCCCTCTTTCCACGCTTGCAGTGGAAGTTCTCTCATCAATGTACATCTGCGCCTTTAATTTCCCCGGTTGGTCGCTGATCTTCCTGATCGCTCTCTGTACAGTTATAATCCCAGATCCTGACTGGCGGTTGTCTTATACTAATACAGATCAATGAAGATATTCAGAATGCCCTAATTGCTCATCGGCGACCCATTCATCGAGTCATAGGACCATTGTCCCTTCTCTGAGAGCGCAGGTTCAAGTCATCCGTTGCGCACAAGAAACGCAACATGCAGATAAAATGGGATATAGTGGCTTCACTGGCGAAGCGTATTATTATTCCTACGACAGCATCTACCACCCCTACTGAAGTCGCAGAGCGTCAACGAGACCCATGGTCTCAATCCGGCAAATATGGCCACGGTTGGGTCTACTTCTCCGTTGTCCTACTTGCTCTTGCAACCATCATCCGGTTCTACCATGTTTGGAGCGATAAAATGAGAATCGCATTGTACAAGGAAGATCTGGCGGATGCATTGCAGGGCAATTCTCCCCAGGACGAGTATGAACTTCCAAGTGCCGCCACCGACAGCTCCACTGCACAATTCTTTCCAGCCGGTGGCCCTCTACCCGGGGTCAAGAAACAGCAGTCGTCGATCTCAACGATTGCTCCGTTGAATAATACAGCTGCCTTCCTGCGATGGATATTCTACCGGCCACTCCCGGTGCTGCGGATTGGAAAGCTGCGCATTGTTTTCCCGTCGCTGGGAGCTTCTGCTGTCGTGCTCACAGCATTGGTCTTCGTAACGCTCTATGCTTTCGTACCGCAGCCGCTGTACTACTCATCCATTACCATTGGATCTCCGCCGTTGGCCATTCGCGCCGGTATGATCGCCGTAGCCATGGTGCCGTGGATTGTCGCACTCAGTACCAGGGCAAATTTCATCAGCATGCTTACTGGTTTCGGTCATGAACGTCTTAACGTGCTCCATCGGTGGTCAGGCTACCTGTGTCTGTTCTTGAGTTTGATACACACAATTCCATTCTTCGTCACGCCGATCTGGGAGGATGGGGCTCTCATATGGTACCAACAATACCTTCCGCGCCACGTTTGGGTCTACGGCACGGGTCTGGCTGCGCTGGTACCGCTGGTATTCCTATGTATCCATTCACTTCCCGCGCTTCGAAGACGAATGTACGAGCTCTTCCTGTTCATCCACATGCCCGTCTCGGTCGTCTTTGTTGCCATGCTTTTCTGGCATTGCAAGAACTTTTTGGCATCGTGGAACTATTTGTGGGCCACCATCGCCATCTGGGTCATGTCGTATGCCGTGCGACTCTTTTATCTCAATTGGACGAATCCTTTCCGCATGTCTTTTATGATAGGAGAGGAGTCAGCGGTGACCATCCTCCCTCATAATGCCATCAAGGTCACCGTTGCTACCACGATGCGATGGAAACCAGGCCAATACGTGTATCTCCGCATGCCCGGCATTTCCCTTCTCGGCCGACATCCTTTCACGATTGCGTCCTTGTGCAGTGATGACTTTCCGTCAGAGTACGGGGAAAACTACCGCGACCTCGCTCTTGTCTTCCGTCCCTTTGGCGGCTTCACACGAAAGGTTTTGCTGAAGGCCTTTGAGTATGGGCCGTACAAGACGTGGACAGCGTTCCTTGAAGGTCCCTACGGAGGAATGCGTCGGGAGATGGCCGCCTTCGACGACGTGATCTTCTTCGCTGGCGGAAGTGGTATCACGGCAATCGCGAGCCAACTGTTGGATTTGATCAAGAAGATGCGTGACGGGAAAGCTGTCACGAAGCGGGTCCGTGTAATCTGGGCCCTGAGAAGCCCAGAGGCTATCGAGTGGTTCCGAGAAGAATTGAGGATTTGCAGAGAACACGCGCCCCCAAACACGGTGCACTGCCACTTCTTCCTGACGGGACCGGCGAAGGACGGCTCCGGAGAGCAGCCTGGCCATGACATCGTCCAGGAAAAGATATACAACATGCTTTCCGGCATGGATAAGCGGAACTCAGCCTACATCCGCGAAGAAGCAGCCGGCGATCTCGAGCGCGAGAAGGAGCTCCGTCGCGAAAATGAAGACGCCATCACGTCCTTGCCTCGAATCTACACCTCCCCCGTCATCGGCAGTCGGCAATTCACGGCATTGCCCGGCTTGCAAACCGGCCCTGGCAATGTTCCTTTCGATTTTGGATTCTCAAACGCCCCTTCTCCACCGCAGAAACCGACGCCACGATTTGCATCGCTTCCCTTGCAGAGGCGGGACGGCTGGCGAATTGACCATGTCCGACCAGATATCCCGCGCATGCTCACAGAATACTCGCAGACATTTGGCCGCCGGACGTGCGTCTTTGTCTGTGGGCCTCCGAGCATGCGGATCGAGGTCACGAAAACCGTGGCGCGGCTCCAGCAGCAAGTGATGATGGATTCGCGTCGAGATGAAATCTTCCTGCATGCCGAGAACTACAATATATGAGAGATGGGACGAGACGAGTTAATGACTGTAATTAGCGAAGTACTCCGCTGTACGCAGCGAAAGTGATATCCGCGTTTTTTGTTCTTGTGTTTGCGATGCACCTCTCAGACATCGCGCTGTTCGAATCTTGCCTGTACATTCATTCTGATCTAGTTGCGTTCATTTGTAAATACAGCACTTCATGAACATGAAATATAAGGCTCTGTACAGCGGCTCGGGTAGGAACTCGATGCGAGATATGTACTCTAAGCACAAAGGTCAATCTACAGCCTACACGCAACCAACGTCTGTGCCTGTGTCTATAGCTCGTCAAAACAGTTCTCATAAAGGCAGGGTATCCGAGACGGCAAAACAAATGCTGAAATATTGACAAAAAATCACGCAATGAAAGCAGTGAAGAGAATGCAGAGAAGGAATGCATCGGCTCAATGTCTCTGGGGCTCATCGTCCGCCTTCCTTTTCCTTGGGGGGCCATCATCCCCCTCCAGGATCCTGGACTCCGTAAACTGGACTCCTTGGGCATCCGGGTCATCGCTATCCTCGGCCTCGACTTTCTCCCAGTCATCATCTTCGTCCTGGCCCTTGGCACCATTTTGGACCGGCCGAGCCTGCTCTGAGCCGCTCTGAGAGGTACCGTCTGCGTCACTACCATCATCGTCACTCCACTGCAGAACCAATCTGACGATTTTCGCTCCAGAAGGGTTCAGTCGCCGGTAGTAGTTCTCCACCAAGCCCTCTTCTACCTGAAATCCCCGGGCAATGTACCATCTCAGGCCCTCCTCGTTGGCTTCATGGACGTGCGCCGTGACAGTGCGGATGTTGTAATGTTTCACCAACTCTGATACATTGTAAGAAGAAAGGGATGAGGAAGAAGATGGGGAGGAAGGCGACGGCGGGGAAGCAAAGAGTATAGAATTGAGCAGGGAGGCCGCGACCCCACAGCCTCGATATGGGGAGAGCAGATGGAGAGTCTGGATGTAGAGATTCGTTGGCTCCGGCTTCTGCGAATGAGAACTCGTTTCGCTCCCTACAGACAGGCGTTCAAGGCGGCATCTAATGCCTCCAATAACTTTGTCTGTTCCTGTGCTTGCTCCTAAGCTCGATGCGGCGGGTGACGGGGTGGTAGACGGTGCCGCGGCTACGGGATGATCATGGTAGATCGCGACGCGCGAAACCGACGCGATGACGGGGTCGGTGATTGTCGCCGTGTAGAATGAGTTCGGATAGCGGATGGGTAGGAGGAGACCCGTGATGCGAGTCAACGAGGGGATATGCGCGGTGCTGACTGGGTCGATGGTAACGTGGGGATGAGGGGTCTGGTAGCCTGGGGAGATGGCATGAGGGTACGCGGGAGGTTGGAACGCGGGATCCCTCGCCGCTGGCGGTTTGAGACGCAACGCTATATTTGGCGTAGCAGAAGGGCTGGAGGACTGTGGAAGAACTAGTGAGGGAGGCTGCATAGGAGGTCTGCTGTGCCTGGGGGAGGGGGAAGACGCGGGAGGGGAGAGGGGTGGAGAAGTGGGCGCTTTGGTGGACTGATGCGCCTTTGCAAAGAACTGATATGCCATGGCTGAGAAGGTCAAAGTCTACTGGAAGTCGCAGAATTAGCAGTCATGAGGAGCAGAAACTGAGTAGGCAGCACAGTTGGACCAAAGAGACAGACGCAAACAGCAGTGCTGGAACTTTGCAACTGTTAAGAGTTGTAACACTGGAACCGCG